GGGATGAGCCACCATGCCTGGCCTATTTATATTTAGGGCTACCTGGGCTTCACAGAAAGGGCCCTAGGGTGGCAAGGGGAAGGAAGGGGCAAGAAGCTGGGTCTCCCATTCTACCATTATGGGTGAGAGACAAGGGCTGCTGTAATTCATTTTTTTTTTTTTTGAGACGGAGTCTTGCTCTGTCTCCCAGGTTGGAATGCAGTGGTACGATCTTGGCTCACTGCAACCTCTGCCTCCTGGGTTCAAGCGCTTCTCCTGCCTCAGCCTCCTGAGTAGCTGGGATTACAGGCATGTGCCACTATGCCCAGCTAATTTTTGTATTTTTACTAGAGATGGGGTTTCACCATGTTGGCCAGGCTGGTCTCGAACTCCAGACCTCAGGTGATCCGCCCACCTCAGCCTTCCAAAGTGCTGAGATTACAGGCGTGAGCCACCGTGCCTGGCAACTGGAATTCTTTAAAAAAAAAGGTTTTTGAGACAAGGTTGCCCAGGCTGGAATGTAGTGGTCAGAGCTCACTGCAGCCTTGACTTTCTAGGTTCAAGTGATCCTCATCCATCAGCCTCCTGAGTAGCTGGGACTACAGGGACTGGCTGGGACTACAGCACACCATCGCGCCTGGCTGATTTTATTTTTTGTAGAGACAGAGTCTTACTGTGTTGCCCAGGCTGGTCTCGAACTCCTGGGCTCAAGCAATCCTCCCACCTCCTAAAGTGCTGGGATGACAGGTGTGAGCCACCAGGCCTGACTCTAGGCTGCAGGAATTCTGAGGAATGGCCCCCCTGCAGCTCAGTTCAGAACCTACTGCTATGAACCATGATCTCAGAGGATCTGCCTGGGAAGGGGAGAGACCCTGTCCCAGATCACACAGCCACTCTTGGCAGGGCAGGTGGCTCCTCCAGCCTGGGCTGCAGGGCAGGTGAAGAGGTGGCTGGAGACAGAGGCTCAGGCCTGTCTGGGGAGGGGACGGGTAGGCGCAGGGACTCACCATGCTGAGGGTGGCCTTGTCCCAGGGACTCAGGCTCAGGTACTTCCTCTGCCGCTCCTGTACAGGGAGGGACAATCAGGAAAGGACCCCAGAGGACCTCACAGACCCTGGCTTGTGGCAGAGAGCGGGGCCTGGCCAGCCACAGGCCACCCTGTCTCGCTGTTCTTGCAGACCTCCAGGGGGCTGCCGGGGTGCTGCCGTCGACTCAGTGTCGACGGGTGCACAGTCGACTCAGTGTGACATTCTGGACTCCCCTGACATCTGTGAGAGCCCCTCCCCACCTCTGCAGCCGCCCATTCTGCCCACAGGAAAGTTTTCCACGGGCAGAGCTTCTGCAGTCTGAGTGGGGGAGGGGAGTTGTAGGGTGGGGTCCCCACCATGGATCGCCCGACTCTGGGAGCTGTAACTGGCTCTTCGTTGTCTGCCTGCCCCCCAAATATACTGCAGGTTAACCCAGCCACTGCCACACACCCTCAGGTAGCCATCGGCAGGTGTTCCTGAATGGGCGCTGGGCCTACACTGCACCGAAGCGGTGGGGAGGCTGTCTTGGGGGGGCTCCTGGCCTGAGGGGCCAGGGTGTGCAGGGCTGGTGTGGCAGGGCTGGCCAAGAGCACCCAGACGAGGGCAGCTGGAGGGGGGCCAGGGAAGGCCGAATGCTCAGGGAAGGCCGAGTGCTCAGGGAAGGGCGACTGCTCAGAGATGGGGGCCAGGTGATGGGGGGACCCCTGGACTTCCCTGGGCTGATGCCCCTTCCCTCCCCTGCCCAGGCTGGGCTCACGA